AAGTGCTTATAAAAAAAAATTGCGCCTATGTATTTTTAATATTTTTCAACTGATATTGTAACAATATATCAGGAGCCTTGTATTAAATTTTTACACTTTTTGGCCCAACAGATAAAACTTTATTGATATTTATAGAAAAAAAAAACTAAAAAAATTGAAAACTGTAATTGTCCGTAAACAGCTCTAAAAGAGTCAAAATGTTTTCAAAATTGTATGGTGTAAATAGTAAATGCTAATTTAAATATTCAGTGAAATTTTCATGTATCTACAGTTATTCGTTTTTGAATTACAACAAAATAAGGAAATCGCTACATGAGAAATCGAGTGAACATCCAATGTTGTAAAAATTTGAATTTCAAACGCTCATAAATTAATTTGACTTTCCGGTAGAGATTTTTTTATTGATAAAGGTAGATAATCTTATAAGGAATCTTGTATTACATTTTAAAATCTTAGATTTAAAAAAAAAAGTTTTATGAATTCTTAACTCAAGCTAATTTTCTCGATTTTTCCATATTTTGTCAATTTTTGAACTTTAAATGCTTATAAAAAAAAACTGTGACTAAGGATTTTTAAAATTTTTCATCTGCGTTTGAAAAAAATATACTAGGAGCCTTCTAATAAAAAAAACACACATCATTGTAAAATCAATACATTCATCGTTCCACTCAGAATCTAAAATAGTAGGTATTTTATTGAAAAATAAATGTTAAAACTATGAATAACTGAAAGAACCCACATATTTCATAAGAATTCCAGGAAGGTAATACTTGATAGGTATATAGTTTAAATTGATAACAATAGTTTGTTCTTGCTCTAAAAGTTAACAGTAAAATCTATTTTTAGTACAATTTAAAATTTAAATTTAAATTTTTTTTACAATTTTCGACCTTTTTTCGAACACTTGGAATTTCTCGAGTACCTAAACGGCTTATTTTAATACTTAGAAATTGTAAAGTAGTAATCGTAATTTGTTGATTACTCGACTTTTTCGAATACTTTTCTTTGGTCGAGTACTCGCATTTTTTTAATACTCCGTTCTTATCGAGTATAGGTACTCGAATTTTTCATACTTGAATTTTTATATAGTACTCACATTTTAGATTCTGAGTGAAACGATGAATATATTGATTTTACGATGATGTGTGTTTTTTTTTTATTTTTTTAGTTTTTTTTTCTATAAATATCAATAAAGTTTTATCTGTTGGGCCAAAAAGTGTAAAAATTTAATACAAGGCTCCTGATATATTGTTACAATATCAGTTGAAAATATTAAAAGTACATAGGCACAGTTTTTTTTATAAGCATTTAAAGATCGAATTTTGACAAAATTTATCAAAATCTCGAAAATTATCAATCATTGTAATTAATAAATTATAAAATGTTCAGTTTTTATAGTTAAGGATTGCAAATTTAAAACAAAGGTTCTCATAAATAGTTCATACTGTAACCAAAAAATCTAAAAAATATATAAACACAGTTATTTTTTATAGACATTTTAAATTCAAATTTGGACGAAATAATTTATTAAAAAACCTAGAATAACTATTTTAGTTATTTTGTTGTGATTGAATAATATTATTCGTTTGTACTTGAAAGTTGAAACTTCTAAAGTGTACTATTATATATCTATGATAGTATCACGGTTTTTGTTCATGTATAACGAGTTATAAGTACCTAATGGATATTGTGATAAAATTAATTTGGAATTTATTATAGCAGGTATCTATTATAGGTCAAATTTTGGTTTAGTACCATAGATTTGTATATAATATGTCTTATACCTAGACTGACATACCGTCTCCGCTAATCGTTTTTCTTATACAATGATATTATATAGTTGAATTCAAATTTAATATCAACCATTATACAGTGACCCACTTGTAACCTACTGTACAGCAGAGCAACACCCACTTGCCCACCTTTTTTTTTTTTTTTATTACTCGGCATTTGTCGAGTAGGTACGCGAATTTTGAACTCGACTCGACTCAAAATAATTGAAACATGACTAATGCCATGGTAAAAATATATTTATTGTACATTCGTATTATTATTTTTAACTTTTGTTTGGTGATATTATAACTGATGATAAATTGGAATCGTGCATATACCCATAGAAGACTAATTTTCTAAGAGGTATACGCATAAATCCAAAAATAGGGATCCGGGTATACGACGTACACCCTCCAATACACCACTCCTATACTATAATGTATTTATTATACTATTTTATTTTTGTTTGACAAAAACATATGGCTATATGTGCAATAACGTTTTGTATTTAAGCCACAATTAACAAAATGTGTGATATAAATAAATAATAATTATATAAGTACCTAACTACACAAATAGGTAGGTGGGCTATTCTATACCTGAACACAAAAAATGCTATAGGTATTATAGTTTTTATAAAAATTATACTAGTGATGACTATAAAGTGGTTGAATGACAGGTTAGAGGCAAAAACCGGTCTTACAGCCATATAGGTAATTCCCAAGATTAAGATCAATAAAAATCTGTTTTATCGTCCAGCTGATATATTATTGTATGAAACCCTAAAATTATTGTTCCTGCCATATTAATAACAGAATATTTCCTTTTCCTTTTTTTTTTTTCGAAGATTGGGTTGTCACATTTGCTATTCGAAAAAAAAAATATGGTAAATGTTATTTCATCTTATTATGTTATATAATGATTGGTTAATTTATTTACTGAGATTCAACGTAGTTAAAAATTATTTATATTCAGCCAATACCAGTCAATACTGATTCTACAATACCGATAACTCAAAATTATATATTAGACCGGTTTAAAATTGCAGGTTTGATGCTGTATATTTTATTCTTTTGTTATTTCTGAAATAAAATGTCTTACTAATTTTAAAATATTTTATTTATAAAAGTTCATTAATATTTAAATTTTTTATTAAAAGTAAAAATGTTTGATAAGTTGAACACAATTGTTTTATAACTAATATTGTAATAAAGTATTAAAGTTTATGAATGATTATTATTTTTATTTATATATTTATAGGATAACGCCCAATGGCGTCAATCAGCGTCTGGCTAAAAAAATATTCAGTGACGCTGATGACGCCAATAGGCGTCATAAAAAAAAAAAAACTCAAATTTGACCAGCACCAGGAAAAAGGTATACAAAAATCAAGACACAGTGAACGTGTTAATATGTAATAATTTGAGAACAAAACTAATTTTTCCAAAACTTAACAAGAATTAAAAAAAAAAATTCTTAGTCTATTTACATGCTTCAAACAAGACCGGTATACCGGTCGATTGCAGTTTTTTTTTTAAATTAAAATAAAATATAAAAATACTTTAAGCATTCAAGTTCAAATATGTTGTTGAGTTTATAAATCAATACTGAGGATTGACTTAAGTTTCGGAGTTATATTTGGTAAGATATAAGAGTTTTTCCTTAGGTGACCGCCATTCACCTAGAGGTTTACACTAATAATAAATCACTATTGTTTATAATATTTCAATAAATGGATACGTATACTACGAGCAAATAAACAATTGTTAGTACTTTGAAGAATTTAATTTAACTACAAGAAAAAATAATTATATATTAAGCGTGTACTATACTAGCAGAAGGATAATTTAAATAATATTAAAGCTTCTATAATTTGTTCTAATTTAATTATAAATAAAGAATAATTTTACTATAACGTATTAACTTATACCACTAGAATATAAAATATTTTTATAAATTTTGAATCTCTAACTCAACTATGCGTTTAAGTTAAATACAAAAAATAAAAATAATATATTATATTATATGACGTGTTCTATACCACCATGGCAGCATACAAAAACAATTTGATATTAAAGCTTAAAAATTAACAAGATATAAACATAATTAGTTACATTGAATGATAAATAAGTTCAAGAAATCATTCAAGTCAGAAGATTTAGTTGTAAACCAAAGCATGCATCAATACAATAATATTTATCATCTAATACATATAATACTATACCAATAACACATGATATAAATTAAGTATACTGTACTATCAAAAATCAAAACTAACAAAATTAAAACATAAGCAAAGAACAATATTATGAAAGGAATCATATCAATACTCCAGTGATTAAAAATACCTCAACTTTAGGACCACACTAACGAGTGAAACTTATCAGGATAACCGTTTCAAGCGAATAAACGTAAAATATATGATATGAATGGAGTAATTGAAGTTTAAAGTACATCTTGTATGTTGAGTTATTTAATTATTATAATATCAATAAAACCCAAAATCGTACAAGCAATGCTGGAGCTCGGGTAAGTATTAAAATACTTTTATTAATTATTACAGGATGGTATTTAAAGACCTTACTGTTTCTTAGTTAACAGCTTTTGGTTTAATGAAACTTATACTTATTTTCTGGACTAATCGTTTTATTCAGTTTAAAACAAGCTCTCATTTAATATAGGTTATAGTACATTTAATATTAATTATTACGAATTCTAATAGTTGTATCAATTATTGTTAAATTACTAAGTAGTATGGGAAAAAAATCTTAATATATCAAATACAGTTAATGTGCAAAACTAAAAAACCAGTTTAAAAATAACCAAAGTTATAAAAATTTGTAAAAATATCTCCACAATTATTTACAAAAAAAAAAAACTAAACAATAAACTAGCTTACTTTACTCTTTTTCATATAAGAATAATCTCAGGCGGCAATCATTTTTTAGAGGTAAGGTCAAACTACACAACTTGATAAATCAGTTTAACCTATTGCCGCTGCCTGAGATTACTCTTATATTATGAGACCGAGTATATAATACTATATACTACAATAATAAAATATAATTAAAATCAGAAAATAGTAAACAATAATAAACAACAATAAACTTTAGATATATACGACGATAATAAACAATAATCAATAAATTAGAAAGATATACAATAATAAAATTATGCTAGAAATGTACTATAAAATGTAAAAAAAGTAAACAAATCAGTAATAATTACTAGACAACAATCATTTTTGTCACAAATTTAATTCTTACATTACATAAGGGACATTTGTTCGATTTTCGCCACAATTTTTTGGCACATGTGTAGCAACAATAAATATGGCCAATTTTCCCGTGATTAAATACTCCATTTTTTGGCATAATGTAACAAATGTTACATATGTTATTACTATTTTCAATACGAGTCGAAACACCCGGTTGAGAATTTGATGGACTGGATTTCTGAGAATCTTCAAGTATGTTGTATTCTTTTTTTGGCTTGGACACATTTAAACGTTTAACATTTTTTGTCTTGGGTCGAGGCTTACTCCCGAAAAATTCCATTCTATACTAAAATAAAATTAGAAAATTATAATTAAATAATATATCTTATCATCAGTGTTATACATAATATATTAATTAACTATATTTAATTCTCATAATAAAATGTATTGATATGTATGTTACAAGATTGTAAACACAAAATATAATGATGGTCATAATTGTTGTCTCCATTCATCATACTGAGTATTAAATTGTAGTCGTATAGCTAGCAAAACCTATTACTTATATTATTATAATATCAGAGTAAAATAATATAGTATAAAAATGATTAAGAAAAAAAGGGCACCAAGTCAACTCCGTTAATGTGTTTATTTTTTCATTTTAAATTATAACCTTTAAAACAATACTAGATACATAATTAACCCATTAACGGCCATAGTTGCGTATACGCAACATTTTTTTAAATAATTTTTTTAGGTTGGATTTATAAATTTTTTTTATTCGCCTGTGACACTATTCGATTAAGAAGACAATGAATAATGAAAAACAATCAGGCGTTATTAGTTTTTATCGAAATCATGTTTATTATACGTATCAGAAGCAAGACAGTTTTTATGTCCAAAATACTTAAAACTTATAAAATTAATTAAAATTTGAATTTTAAATATTTGGTATATTAACCGTAAAAATCATTATGTTATGATGCTGTATGATGTGTCCCTATGAGCTGAATTGTCATTCATTTATCATTTAGGTTTCCAATTACCCTCCAAAGTTAATGTTGCGTGTACGCAACGTTGGCGGTTTATATTATAGAATTTTGAAGTTATCGAACACCGTTGTTTGATATTACTATGTGCCGTAGAAAATAGCTCACACGTTGGTTTTTCCTGTAATAATAATTTTTCGATGCTTTTACGTTGTTTTTATCTTATCAATAATGTACGGATAGTGTGTATTAAAACATTTATAGCTATAATAATAGGTATCCGTATCCCTACATACTTGAACAATATTATATTTAGTTGTTATAAATCAGTCACCGGCCAAAATTCACCAAAGTGCTCGTCGTATGTCGTAGCTTGTGGTTGTTGTAGTTATTTCAACTAATATTTAGTAAGTTTGCATTATATTATATTATTACTAATTATATATAACTAGCTAGTATAGTACCTACTACCTACATTTTATTGAATTATTGTGAAAACATACACTTCAACATCTGTATAAGAGATTACGTAATAACGTAATTGTAATATATTTTATCCACTGTCTTATTTTATTCGGTGTAAAGAAATTTTTTTTTAAATTTAAATTGTAGAAATGAGCCTTAAATCGTCAAAACACATCGCTGAAGTATTAGATGAACTTGAAGGTATTTCAGATAACGAATCAATTGATATTATTATAATTCCTCCCGATGTAGATAGTTTGACTAACGAAGAACATTTCGATGATAATGAGGTGGCTATAAACGATGTTGTAGACGTTCCACTTGATGTGTGTGGAACATTTGAAATTTTAAAAAGTTCCGGTGTAGATAATCTTTCAAAACCAAATCCTTCCAAAAAACGTAAGGAAACACCCCCAAAATGGAAATCAAAAATGCACCCCAACTATACTGATGGACCAATTAACGAAGAACAAAAATGTGTTGCACAATTAGTTGAAAATTATGGTGGGACGAACGTGTTGCAATGTTTTTTATTATTTTTCGATGATACTGTGATTAATCTCATAATAGACAATTCAAATAAATATGCTACCTACTGTAACAGGCATAACTTTTCTTTAGGAAAGACAGATTTATTAAAATTTATCGGTATTATGATCTTAACTGGTTACCATAGTTTACCAAAAATCGAAAACTATTGGTCTAAAGACGAAGACAAAGAAGTAATTTTAGTAAGGAAAACAATGTCAAGGAACAAATTTAAAAATATAAAACAAAATTTACATTTATCTGACAATAAAAACCTTGATTTGACCGATAAATTTGCTAAGGTACGACCTTTTTTCAATATATTGAATGAAAAGTTTTCTCAGTTCGGAATATTTTCTCATAATCTGTCGATTGATGAAGAAATGGTGCCATATTTCGGTCGGCATTCTTGTAAAATGTTCATTAAAGGGAAACCTGTTAGATTTGGTTTCAAGTTGTGGTGCTTGACATCTGAGAATGGCTATTTGTACAAATTTTTACCTTATGGTGGTGCTAGTACAAAAAGAGTGGACGGTTTACCTCTTGGTTCGGAGGTTGTTTTAGGTTTATTGGAAATAGTAGATCAACCACAGCTTCATAGAATATTCTTCGATAACTTCTTTACAAGTTATAAATTACTGTTGATGTTGAAAGAAAAACATTTTTTTGCAACTGGGACAGTTCGGGATAATCGAACAGGAAATTGCAATTTGAAATCAATGAAACTAATGGCTAAAGAACCCAAAGGCACTTTTGATTTCACTTTCGACAGTGAGAATGGAATAGGTGCAGTTCGTTGGTGTGACAATGCTGTTGTTACAATGATGTCTAACGTAGACACCATAGAACCCATACATGCTGCTAAACGTTATGATAGGAAACTGAAAAAACCGATAAGTGTACAACAGCCAAGTATGATTTATAATTATAATAAAAATATGGGTGGCGTAGACCTCCATGATAATGGCATTGCAAACTATCGTATAAAAATACGGGGCAAAAAATGGTGGTGGCCATTATTTAGCAATGCAGTGGATAGCACGATAGTCAATGCATGGAAGTTTTACAACTTGGTAAATAAAAAAAAAGTGCCACAGCTTGACTTCAGATCAGAGTTAGTACTATGTCTATTAAAAGTTGAAACAAGCCTCAAAGACAATGATGAAGACGAGTCTCAACATTCTACAACTAGCAACGTCAGTTTCGGTCGACCTTCAAAAAACAGTCTTCCAGATGCCATTAGAAAAGACGGAATGGACCACATTATTATCAAAGATGATGTTAGAAGAAGATGTCGCCATTGCTCTTCTCAAACAATTTATTCTTGCAGAAAATGTTTGGTGTCTCTTCATCCACACTGCTTTGCTATATTTCATGATAAATAAATCAACTTATTATATTTTTATTACTTTTTACTATTTTTCAAGTGTACTTAAAAATTATATATTCCATCAATTCATGACTTAATAATTATTCCAACGTGAAAAAAAATTCATAAATAATAACAAATTAATACATTTGTGTTAATACTATTCGTATACTATATATTTGAATAAGAATAAAAAAATGTATAAATATGAAAAATATTTTATTTATTTACGATTTTATTCACTGTTAACGACCAACGTTGCGTATGCGCAACTTTATTTTCCAGGAAAGTGGCCAACAAAAATTTTTTTTGAAAAATAATTTTGTCACTAGTTCACCATAAATATTCCGAATTAGTCAAAAAAGTTAGGTTTTTTCAACTATTTATATTATTGGCCGTTAATGGGTTAATTTGCATATATAATTTTAAAAAAAGCTTAAAACTGTCTGTTTGTTTATAGTCTACTTAAAAATTTGTAAAAAAATATCACGCTACTTTAATATTAAAAAATCATTCATAGAAGAAACATGAAAAGCTATTTTACTAATGTATGAATGAAATGTAAATAATATAAGTAAATAATATAAGTAATAATTACAAATAATAAGTAACAGTATTAGTATTTTATTTGTTAAAAATGAGAAAAGATTATAATAAAAATTATGGGATTTTTTTTTAATATATATTATTTGAATAATGAGGTTTATATGATATTGTATACATTGAAGTATTATTATTACATTCAGTTTTGAATGATACTGCATTGAAGTATTTTTATCCAATTCAAACATTGTCAGTTTATTGATACCAGATGTTTTTTTTTATCTACCATAATTCAAACTTAAATTATTATTACCACACTTATATCTCTAAATAGTGTTCTTTAATGAATTTGATTATAGTAACTTTTTTTTTATTATAATTGATAAAAAAAAATTTGGTGTAAAAAAGAAATTATTTATCAATCAATTATTAATAGTTATTTAGTACTACTGACATACCAACACACACATGTGTGTTGTGTAATTCATCTATAAATAACATATATAATACATTAAAATTAATGGCAAAATCATATAAATTTGCAAATACTTACTCGAAAACAAACAAAACAGTATTGGAAGTAGGGATTGGGGTTTTCTTTTCGGCATTGCAAGCACGTTTTAAAGCACGCCGGAGGTGGTAACTCTGTTTTTGGAGTAGTTACCCTTCCATCCGTGTCCTCCGGATTGTACCCATTGTCTGGTATATCACTATTTATAATATTATTGGTCACCTAAAAAAAAAAAAAAATATATATAATATCTGCTGTACTAAGATGTTAACCGTCTTACAAATATACAACATAACAAATTTGTGTTCAGCAGTTCAAGTTTGTGTGATAATTATGAAGTTTGATAATAGGTCAACTAGGTCTCTCTGTATTATTAACGCTTACTAAACAAAATTGCAACTGCTAAATACAAAATTGTTGTGTTGTATGTTCTTACAACAGCAACAACTCTGTGGGTGTGGTATCCTCTTGAATAAATTATTTAAGCTAAGATGAAAATTATAGATGCTTAAATAACTTATCTAAGATATTTAGTAGTTATAAAGATATTACAAAGATTGTGAACAAAAACGGTGTGTATTTTACCTTAAAATCTATCAACGTTGAGGAATCTGAAGAATTAGTTTCAATATTATGGCAAGAAGATGATGTGCTGACCACATCAAATTCCGTGTGGTTAGTTTGGCTATTGCAGTTACAATTGCTTCCACAACTCTTAACTGAAGAAAGATCTGCTTCGCTTATTGCTTCCACTAAGAAATCAGTAACATTAATTATTAAATATACATAATAAATGTATAGTTGTTAATGGAAATTGTACAATAAAATTAAAATTAGATTCGTGTTTTTGAGATGGACATCAAATTGATGCTAAATTACTTATAATTTTTATTTATCCTTTAGGAGTGCTCAAAATATTGCACATTGGACGTCTTACCCCATGAGTTGTCTCTGTCATACTAACGCGAAATATACCAAAATATACGTCCAAAAATTCCAATGCTGTGTTGTTGGCTTAAATATTACAGTGAATTGATATATTAACAAACTTAAATTTGTGAACATTATCTCTGTTCTCTTATTCGTTTTTTATGAAATTTTTATTTTTAAGTGCATTATAAGTATTTTTAAATATTAATATTTTACATACTCATAATTTACTAAAAAATTAAAATTTTTTAAAATACCAATAAAGATAATTTTATCTTGGAACTGCTGGACGTACATCTTGGTATATTATGCATTAGTAAGACAAACACAATACATGTGGGTAGTTCTTAAATAGAACTGAAATTGAGGGTAGATAGAACTCACAAAAGCTAATATATACAGGCTGTCCCACCGAGATCTGACAAATGCCGTAACTTATGCCATAACTTTTGCTATATACAAAATTAAAAATTATTTTTTTTACTTATATAATTATTTATAGCCACTCGCGTTACACGTATAATATACAAAAAATTATTTTTATTTGTTAATACTGAAAATAAAAAATTTATAATTTGATTTATAATGTTTTATATAAATTTGAAATGGCCAATTTATGAATCTGATTATAAGAACAATTTTGATGGTAAAGACATTTATATAAGTCAAGTAGTTTATTTTTTAGAATTTTTTTAAATAGGTATCTAATTATTTTTTTAAATTATGTTGAAACGTAATAACTTTTTTAAAAATATTATTTTTGGGAATTTGCTGACATGAGTATATTCCAGTCATATTGAGCATCACTCAGTAAATGTGTAAAATTGTTTTTTAATGGTAACAATTCATTCTATTGATGGTAAAATTACAAGAAAAATGTTTTGAAATGAACTATTTTGAACTCTGTTTTATAGACATATTTGTATACTTTATCAATAGATTCACCTTTACTTTTAAAATTCAGAATATTGATTTTATATTATTTATTTTCTCATATTTAAAATGTTAGTTTAATAATGGTTGAATCCTAGAGATCTAAATGACTATTAAAAATTTACAAATAGACTACATCATAAAAATAAAAAGTAAAAACTGTCAAAATATTTAAACAATATATTTTGTTGAAAATAATTACTTGTAGTTTTTGATTGAACACTATGTACACTTTCCGTGACATCTGAATCATCTTCTGTGTTGGAAATCAAATCATCTGTACATTCCATAGTGTAGTTGTATATATACCTAGTTCTTTTGCCTCCCCAGGTTGCATCCTGATCGTCGTTCAAATCTATTATCAGAATCATAAAACAAGATAAAATTATACATTCAATAACTAAAAACAATATTAACATACCATTAGTAGTATTCATATCGTTCACTTGTCTTTTCACTGTATGTACCATATCTAAAAAATAATTTATTTTAAATTAACTATCAGAACATTCTATAACTTTCAAATTAATATGAAAATAACAAACTTATTATAGCAGTAGATAGTGTAATGAGAAATAAAATTGAATTTATTAATGTACCTATGAAAATATTAAATTATATACTTATACAACTTATAAATAGAAACTTGAACAATTCATTCGATAAATGTATTTAATATTTGTGGTTTTTTTTTTATTTTAGATTCTGAGTGAAACGATGAATGTATTGATTTTACAATGATGTGTGTTTTTTTTTAATTTTCTTTTTGTGTCTGTCATCACAATTTAGGACGGTAAGAGTGCTTGGATTTTCTTCAACAGTAGCTTTTCTGATAGGAAAGTTAATCTAGTTGGTACTTTGAGGGGTCAAAAGTAAAAATAAAAATAAAAATAAAAAACAATAAAATGTTATTTGTTGAGTAAAAATACTTGAAAATTTAATAAAAGGCTAATAGTATATTGTTTCAAAGGCAGATGAAAAATATTAAAAATCCTTAGTCACAGTTTTTTTTTATAAGCATTTAAAGTTAAAAAATTGACAAAATATGGAAAAATCACGAAAATTATTTTGAGTTAAGAATTCTTAAAAATTTTTCTTCTCAAATCTAAGATTTTAAAATTAAATACAAGATTATCTAACTAAAATATTTTGACTCTTTTTGAGCTGTTTACGGATATTTACAGGTTTCAATTTTTTTAGTTTTTTTTTTTTATAAATATCAATAAGGTTTTCTGTTGGGCTAAAAAGTGAAAAAAATTAATACAAGGCTGATATATTGTTACAATATCAGTTAAAAAATATTAAAAATACATTGGCACAATTTTTTTTTATAAGCATTTAAAGATCAAATGTTGACAAAATTTATCAAATTTAAAATTGAATAATTATTTTGTAGTTAAAAAATTATAAAATATTGAACTTTTATATCTAAAGGATTGGAGGATTGGTTGTTTGACGGGATGGTCCTAGTGGCCGATAATACCCAAGAAGAAGAAGAAGATATCTAAAGGTTGAAAATTTAAAACAAGATTCCATGTAAGTAGTTAATTCTGTTACCAAAAAATTTAAAAAATACACAAGGACAGTTTATTTTTATAGTTATTTTTAGTTCAAATTTGGAAAAAATTACATATTAAAATCAATATTAAAGATTTTGGTTTTTTGTTGCATTTCCAAAATATTATTCGGGAATATATGAAACTGAAAAATCAAAATCTTATGGAATATATACAATCTACAATACTAATATACTATAATGAATATGAAGTATGCTCAATGATAAGACTGTTCATATTTTTTTTATTACCATTGATTTGTATGTAATATGTCTTAAAACTTTCAATACAAACATAATTCACAAATAGAGGCTTAACTATTGTGATTCATGTGTTTACTAGGCAAAATATAATAAGCTACCTACATTCTGTAAATGATCTATGACATTAATTTACATACCTAACAGCAACTGCATTAAGGCAAGAATCTGTATATTTTTTGAAATTGCTTGAACAATATAAATATAACATTATAATAGGATTCATTTAACAAAATTGAGCTCTCACAATTTAATCTATTTATCAAAAACATTTACTTAATTAGACTTTTGATTTCCAAAACTGCACTGTAAAATGAAAATGATAGGTAGGTAGGTACTGTTAATTATATGTTATATTTTCAATAGGTACCAAACCAATTTAAATTTAATATTCAAGCAATTCAAAACAAATTGTAAGAAGTCCCTAGTTTTATTAATTATATAATATATAGGTTGTAGGTACACACAGTCGAAACGCAATAACTCGTAAACCTTGTTAACTAGAATTGTATCTTGTCCCTTGAAGTGTTTATAAGTTGTATTCGAGGTATAAAACCCAAAAAATGTTTAAGTCAAATAAATTGTTATTCCCATCGAGATATTATAATAATTTATAACAAAGACTCACCGTGAAAAAACCTCCAACAACCAAAACCGCAGTGGAAACTGTTCGTAATGAATACAGCTCCACTGGACGCGAAAACAGTGTCAGAAAGTGAGTTAAAAAGTTCGACGCATTCGACAAAAATGTTATGACGCGGTCCAAGCTGAAACAAAGTGACGTAGTTACCACAGTCAACGACGAGCCACTACTGGCGAACAACCATTGGGCATTGACCGGACACAACACAACGAGCCTGCCATGACATGTAGTAACGTGAGAGTACAAGACGACTTGTGGGAACGGGAAGTCTGTAGTTGTGTACACAATCGACCGGATACGACGATTATCGAAATTCTCGATAGTGCTCGGCGTCAATATAATTGTACGACGCGTACAGGAAAAACGTTCGGGCCGAGTCGATGGCGATCCAAAAAGGCAAAAACACGATCACTTAAAAACTTTAAGAAAACAACAACATCGTTTTGACATCCATTAAACTATTTTTTACTCTGAGCAGTCTGAGCAAAATTTCGAGAGCACAACATTCAATATTAATATTAAAAAAGATAAAGCATAAAAAACGTAGAACCAATACTTAAAATATTGCTTATCAGCGATAAGCGAATATGATAATAATTGATAATGTTAATGATATCTGACTATCTGAGCCTGCTGCTGGTACTGTTTGTATTTTGTAGTAACACCTTTGAGCCTTGAGGCTTATTACTGACTATTAGTTTATTATTTATTATTTATTGTATAATATGATCAAATAGTTCACGTTTATTTTCATTAGTTGTAATATTAGTGTGAATATTGACTTATTCTACAACTTAAAAGAATGGCAGTGCCCTATTTGTAACATATTATACGCGACATAAAAAAATGTGTTCCGCAAAACCAAACGTGTGTGAAGTTGGGTGACCAAAGCTAGGTGACTATTTTTTTCGGGCGGCTAGTGATAAGAAACCTTGCACGTTGGGTTGCATTCTTTAAATTTCAAGGGTGCCTAACTATTGCATCGAAATTATAAAGTAGATGTCGCCCTATGTCATTTAATAACTATTTATTTTAAAAGTATATAAATAAATAATAAATTCTATTGGCGTCATTACCACGATAATTATACCGAAACCATAACTATACCGAATTATACAAATCAATATTAATTAAAAGTTAGGTTATAAATTGCCCTAATTTCGAAGACACGTTCTTACAAATGTACATTGCACTTTTGCAGTTTACCTTAACTAATTAAAAGTGTAAACTGTAACTGTTTAACGATGTCATTTGTTAGAGATCACTTTCTACGGAGACAGGTAAGTTTATGTTATGTTAATTGTTTTAATTATGTCATGTTCCGTTTACCTATCCACATACTGAATGGTAGTGTCTAAACGAAAAATAGGCAAACTCTATGTCTCCCTTAAAATGAGAAAATAACCAATTATTGTAGTTTAGTACAGATTACATAATTATGTATTTACATTTTTTTTATTATTCATTTATAAAGTACAGAGCTAATACCGACTAATATCCAATTTCACAGTATACAATATCAAATAAAATAAAATAATATTTCAATTGTGTTTATTTCATTGTTGGTTTGATGGGGATGTAGGGATGTGTTTACTACCCAATGTTTTACAGGTTATCTGCCCATGTACCTATTATAAATATTCTAGGTACATTAAAAAGATGGATTTGGAGTTTATATATTTATTTATTTTTGTAAGTAAAATATTTAATAAATAATAATATATATCAAATTATGACTTATATCAAAGTTGTTACTTGTTTGTATAACTGTAAAAATATAGGTAAATAAATAATTTTCATGATGAGAAATAGTTTTTAACAGGTTTTAGAATAACTGAAACTGTTTCTATGTGTAAGGTAATATTGTATTAAAGTTCTAAGTATTGAAGTTTTCAATATTAATTATTAAATATATTTGATATTCTCTTGACAATAACAACAAATTATAAGATATTCATTTTAAAATGTATATATTATTCAAATAGTTAATGTAATTGATTATTCAGATTCTGGATCTTAAGTGGCCTCAGTTTTAACTTAAAACATACTTAAGTTATATTCATACATATTATAATGGTTTATATTTGAAATATTTCATTCATAAATGGGTAAAAAAAAAATATCTTTAATTGAATTACTATTAAATACCATAAGTAATGAAAAATCATTTCTATGTTGTTTATTATTTGTAAACATAATATCCAGTCTCAGTTCTATCATTGAAGGAGAGTTTATGTTTTTAGTATTTCAGCTCGCAAGCTGTTGCAAAATAAATCTGATGACAAGATTTCATGACATGATAAGTAAATTAAACTTTCTCTTGTACTTCCCATTATATTTATTTTCCCATCAATTTTCAGGTGGCATGCAGTCTACATTTACTGTTGTACACAGGATTGGATTATTGCATTTATTATTGAGCTCAGTATTATTGTATCCTTTTTAGACTTAATTTAATTTAATTATTGAAATGATACATGTGTAATATTTATTGTTTAAGTATTCAATATTTTGAAAGTGACAATCGTCAGCACAGGCTACAGGCATCATAGAATTAATAACTTTTCTATAAAGATTTATTTTAAAATTAGCGTTCGTTTTCATAATAACATAATTTTTTAACAAGTAATACTTATTTTTTCAATTTAAAATTATTATGTCTTTAATATTTTTGTTCTCTTAAAATATCTTAATTTATTATCCATGTGTGCCAGTGTGTCATTGTCACGAGTTTAATGATGATTTCTAAAAGTGTAAAATATTATTGAATACATTATTATACTATTATACTTTATTTTAAAAGTAAAATGTATGTATTTTTCAGGCGCAAGTGATCCGGGTTTTCTACACATTTTCTATTCGGTTTTCTTCGGCTTTTTCTTCGCGCATTCAATTCGGTTTTCCGCTGCTTTTTCCTTGCACACTCACTTCGGTGTTTCTGCGGTTTCTACCAAGTACTAATTCTAAACATTTAATTGTTAGAAATATTAATTATTCGATTTATTCCAAGC